TTTTTTTTTTTTTTTTTTTTTTTTTGTTGGCCGTAAGTATTTAAGGGCTATTTAGTATTTACTTTAACTTGATTTGAATTTTTTAAGACAAACAACAAAAACTCAAACTTGATTTAAATTCAGTTTGCATTCATTTTGGTGTCGGTTGAGGCGCTTGTGTTGATTGAAGACTTAGCATAGAAGAAGTGTTGATGGGTTGCTGATGATATGCTTTTGGGATCGATTTACGATTCGATATACTTTCAATTCTGTGCTCGCTTCTAGCGCTCTACCGGCTGCACACTCGACCCGGGCTTACCTCGGCGATGCGGCTGGCAGCGGCGGCAGCGACAGCGGCGGCGGCGGCAATGGCGGCGGCGGCTGTGACCGCACATCCGACTCAATGTGACGCTTGTGCGGCGACTGCAGATCGAGGGCCGCGTAGGCGGCATGCGTGTGTCCAGCCACGCCCAGCGGCGAACTGCGCGGCCGCATGGTAAGGGGCGGACCGCGAAATAGCGCATACGGATTGCCAAAATAATCCTGTGAGGTGGCCATCATAGCGAATCGTTGCACTGAAAAGGATAAGGGAAATGAGATTGATTAAGTGGGCAATTTTTAAGAAAATGGAAAGCTTAGATAGTTGGAAAGGCAAATAAGTCCTTTATGCGCTTAGGGCTAAAGCAGTTGCTTTTTTATGTAGGTGAGCTGCACTCCACTGATGAGCATAGAAGCTAAGCCACATCTGCCATATATCATTTAAAGGTCTATCCCAATGATGAGTAAAGATAATCTACCTCACATATTTTATATACTCGCATATGTAATAATATATCTTAAATAAAATGCAAAAAAATTTTAAAAATAATTAATAAAGATAATCTACCTAATATATCTTATATACTCGCATATGTAACAATATATATTGTATATATGTTTATGGACATGTAATTTACAGGCATATAACTGAAAGGTCTATAACTTAAGAATATAAACCTTCAAATTCTATCTATCTAATATGTAAAATAGTTACCTAAGGCAAGCTGGTAATAATTATTTTTGATTTTTACCATAAAAATTAATTTTAATAATTAAAAATAATTTATTTAATTACTCAAAAAAATTTTTAATTTTTAATTTTTTAATTTTTTGTTATAAAAGTTATAATTGTTACGGTCCCTGCAAACTTGGTAAAATTTCAATCTTATCAACTTTTTATTCCAAAAGAGTAACTTACTTTAAAATTAAATGTTTCTAAGCCTTTAGCCCGTTAGCTTATCGTTCAATGTTAACTGTTTGATTTATCTAGCTAATAACATGAGTTTTATAACAGAATAAACAATTGTACTCTCTATCTATCTGTATATCCTCGCACCTATTTTCCAGTAAATTAAAAGCAAATAAAGCGACCTTAAACCGTACTCTCACTCGCAAACATTCATATTCATAGACACTTTTCGAAATTGTGGCATGTCAATAGACCATTTTTATGGCCAGCCATTCAGAGCTGACTAAACGATGGTAGCTTATGTGTGTGTGTGTGTGTGTGTGTGCAATGTGCGTGTCCTGTCCATTCATGTTTTTTAATTTAATAGTCATGTAAATATGTGAGGCACGCGACTGCATTTAATTTTTTGTTGTGAAATGAAATTATTGTAACATGTCCATTTGATTGATGCCCACGGCACGGATTCAACCACGGATACAGACACACACACACACACAGACAAACATACAAACATGTCGAACACGCCATAATTGACGGAATACAACAGCTATTGAGCGCCGAACAACGGACAACGGATAACAGACAACAGACACCGAATAACGGACAACGGACAGTTGACAGCGCAGAACATGACATGACGACAGTGCCCAATGCATGTAATTAAGTGTCCTGTCCCCGCCCATCGCTTTAAGTGCCGCCCATTTTGGAAAGTGCGCGTAACGAGCAGTTGATGATAGTGTCTCCGCATTCCCAGTAATCAAGCCAAGCAGCAATTATTGGCGCCTATTCTGAAGCAATGAACACTTTTAAATTGAATTGTTTGTGTTTTGGCTAATTGCTGCTGGCCTTCTAGGCAAATATTGTGGGTGAGAGATGGAACAATATTTAATGATTTTTAAATATACACCAAAAATAAATAATTATCTTATGATACATGTAACTAAGATAACATAAATTGTGTATATTAATAATTTCTATTAATTATTTTCAACATTTAAAGGAATAGAGACGTGTAAAATTATATAGTAAGGCATTTTTATTTCACCTCTCATTTACCCTCATTTACTTCATTCGCTCACCTCCCTTAAGTCTCAAGCTCATTTCCCTTGCTCATCTGCCTTGCCTTTCATTCCTAGCTGCACAGCAAGTTCAGGTAAGCTCGCAGGAGGTAAGCAAACACAATTTATTCTATTTGATGCTTTTATTTGGCATTCTTAGCTCCCTTCATTGACTCAACATCCCGATAAATACATATAAACACATGTATATGTTATATTCGGTACATATGTAGACGTAAAAAATCTATTTAACATTAATATTTTTAAAATTAATATATATGTTTTTGAAATTTTTTCAATATAATACAAATTTTTTAATCATTAGTTTTTTTTTTTTTTTTTTTTTTTTTTTTTTTTTTTTTGTAAGCACACTCATAGCAATTCATATTAAATAATTTATTATTCCAAATAATAAAGTAATAACAATTTATATTCAAAAATTAACTATTCTAAATTTATTTTCTTTATCAACAGCAACAAAAAAGTTATAAATAAATACAATTTTAAAAAATAAATAAATAAAACTAAAATATTATTGCCTTCAAGTCTTTAAAAATTTCTTTCTATTATCAAGTCTATTAATTAGGAATTTAGAATTAAGAATTAATAAGAATTATTGATGCTTTCTCCAAATTCAATCAATCAATTCATAAGTTTAAAAACAAATTTAAAGTTTTGTCAGATTTCTTAAACACAATTTGCAAGTGTTAAAATGAAATATCGAAAGAAATAAATTTAAATACCTCAAATGTATGCATAATATAAATATTTATAAGTTTAATAGAGGCCAGAAATTCCCAGAATCCACTCAAACAAAGATCAAGGCACTTTTTTGTTGTTCTTTCAGTAAGCCACATGCAATAATCGCATTAAGTGTAAATTTCAGGGAATTGCTGTTGGCATTAATGCCAGCCACCAGCACGGTTGATTCGTGAACGTGATTTTGTAAGCCAGTGTAAGCGCACTCGACGGATTAACGTAATTTCCAGCCAATTGGCATCAAGTGGGCAACATGCCACACTTTCTGAGCCACAATTAAGTGTGCCACAAATCGCATTGCATGGCATGCCACACACACACAAACTCATGTACAGTAAACGCTCCACACAATGACCAAATGCAATGCGCTTTCTTAATGAATGCTAAGTTTTTGTTTTTTTTTTTTTCTACTCCTACTTCTTCATTTTCTATTTTCCCTATTCCTATTTTCCGTTTTCTTTGCCTTTTTTTTTGCATAATTTAACGCGACAGCTCAAGTGCTGACTGATTTTCCAGACGGCGGAACGCGTTTACGTTGGCGTTGGCGTTGACGGCGTTTAACTTTTGCATAATTACGTGTAAGAAAAAAAAAGTTGCCAGCTTGCGGATTTATATGAAGTTCGCAGTGGCAGGGCGGCGGTTCGAACTTTCCAAGAAATTTGTCTAAAGCTGCTGCAAGAGCGAGCGCTAGGGTGGGAGAAGTTAAGGGCGCTTCCTTGCGAAGCAAATGTATCAGAGTTGAGCGATATGCGCACAGTTTCAACTATCAACATGGAACAACTTTTTATATCATCAAATGCAAAGCAAAGGCACAGTGGGACAGTTCGCAGATGTGAATGACAGAAATATATATGACAACAGTCTACAAGCTGTTGTTGAGAACTTTAATACGAGCTCAAGATATATGTGCCTACAAGATGTGTTTATAATAAAATAAAAATGAGCGTACATAAGAAAAATTGTATACAAACATAAATCTAAAATCTAAATTATTTGTATATGCCTATTTTTCTTATTTATTACATATTATTTGAGCAACATTTAATATTTTAATAAATTAAAAAATATTTTATTTATAAATATGTATATA